TCATAAATAAGTGATTATACTGATCTACTGTAATTTCAACCCGACGGCCCTCAATCCTCCACACTCCTCTCCAGGCAGGGGATCTTTTCAACTCAAGTCAGAAGCATTACTCATTCTATTCTACTTCATACTGTGTGTTATGGTCTAGACAGAGCAGGAGGCAAATTTCTTGTAAACAAAGAACTCAAAGAACCTGATCATTTCCTCTACCCTTTTTATCCAGACTCTGTAGGATACTGTATAAAAAATTTCTCTAGCCTGACGTCTAGGCCCAGAATGTAACGAGAGATGGTGCCCCCTGGAGATCATTTCTGACCTTATTCTCAGAAGAAACAACACAGGTTTAACCGCAGGCCAAGGTGCACATCTACAGTGGAGGTTTCACTCTGTCCACCTCTCAGCAGATGTTTCTGCTAATGTTTCTGAACGAGATCTAATGCTTTGGGCATATATGTAGGAGCATGCTGAGTTGGCTTGGCCACCAGAATGAAATACAATGGACCCTTAAACAATATGGGGACAAGGGACACTGACACCCCCCACCCCTGGCCACAGTCAAAATCCACATATAACTTCTGATTCCCCCAAAACTTAACTACATCTATCTCTCTGTATCTGTGGAGGAGTGGTTCTAGAATCTTCTCCCACCATGGATACCCAAATCTGCGGATGTCAAGTCCCTTACATAAAATGGTGTAAAACAATGCATACAGTTGGCCCTCCCCATCTGCAAATTCCCAACTGTGAACCAAAAATACTGTTGTTGTTTAACTGATTTTAGAGAGAGGAAGGGAGGGAGAGAGAGAGAGAGAGAGAGAGAAACACTGATCAGTTACCTCCTGCACATGCCCCAATGTGGGGATCAAACCCACAACCTGGGTATGTGCCCTGACTGGGAATTGAACCTGCCACCTTTTGGTGTAAGGGATGACACTCCAACCAACTGAGCCACACCAGCCACGGCCAAAAATACTGTTTTTGATCCATGGTTAGTTGAATCTACAGATGTGAAACCCAGGGATCTGGAGGGGCCAACTGTATATTTATTGAAAAAAATCAACATATAAGAGGATCCACATAGTTCAAATTCGTTTTGTTCAAGGGTCAACAGATACCAGAACCAGGGTTCTAGCTCCTCTTATTCCTGCTGGCACTCAGAAAATCCTTGGGGGACTGTTGGGAAAGAGGCTGGAGTCTATGTCCCAGGCCAAGTTAGTACAGGCTAGACCATATCATGGGCCTGAGTGGAAGGACTGAACTGCAGAACCACCACCAGCTGCCTGAGCTCCTGCAGATGAGCTCCAATGCATTGTAAGATATGATCTCTTTTGCATGGCAAAACTGTTTGACTTAATAAACAATGTTCTCACCCATCATTTTAAAAGAAAATATCTCTCCAGGGGCACCTGAGGTTTTCACAGAGGCAGATTATCTCACTTGGGTAGAATGCTTGACTCTCGGCCAGAACCCTCTACTTCAATTACAGAAGCAGCTGATCCTCAAGGAAAAGTTTATTCTACACAAGGGTATTTTGAATGCTGAGTAAACACCAGGAGAATAAGAAATGAAGTTTTTTCGCTTGTTTTGCACAGCATCTGTGAAAAGATGGCTAACATAAGTGTTCTCATGTGGTAATCAAGAGTGGTTAAGTTTTTGAGGGCAACTTAGCATTCCTAAGGCCTAATAAAAAAAAACAAAACAAAAAAACAGCATAGAGAAGACTCCTTGGGGAAAGCTAGTTAAGTGATGACATCAATCACTGGCGCCTGAGGCTTTAGAGTACTCTGCTAAATTTGTAAGGGCCAGCAAGAGAACCCAGCATATTAACAGGCACACCAGTGCTCTAGAGAAAATGTTAGCTACACAGTCCTCCTCCTCTGTGAATAAGGGAATGCACAGAATAGAGAAGATGAGTGTCCATACAGAACCAAATACAGAGAGCACATTCTATTCCAGAAGACAACTGTGTGTACCATTTGAGGAGGTAATTATATGATAATTATTAAGTATATTAAGATTATGGTTAACAATCACAACAGATGTGTATATAGAAAAATATTTTTAAACAAAGGTAATGAGTTCCTTATAGAAGGGGAATCCATGATATTAAGAAAACAAAGAAAAGACATTTTAAATTCTGGCCATTTATACATTTTGTTCTTCTCTTACCCCATCACCACTGAAAAGCAAAGCAGATGCTTGTCCCCTTTTTTTAAAGAAGGGGAGAAGTATAAATGAAAAAATTTGGTGTTATTTTTTTCATATAATTCGCTGTAATTGTCTTTTCCTTAAGATAGTTGCCAGCTACTTTGAGAAATTACTACCAAAACTTCAAATATCTGTCAGTTCAAAGGTTCGTTTCAAAAATTCTAGTCTTTTGAAAAGTTACTGAAGATTACAACACACATACATGACATGCACATACAGTTTCCCCCCAAATACAAGTCATACTATGCACATGGTTGTAAGCAGTGAGCAGTATTTCATTAACTTTCTTTTATATATAAAATGTGTTTACGGAGAAGTAGTCCCTGTTTTAGGCAGAATTCTAAGGTTGTCCCCTAAACTTTCCCCCTAATTCCAGGGCTGCATAAGCCCCGGACTGTAAATGGGCTTTTATTCCCATGATTAGGTTACAATCTATGACACAACCAACTATAAAACGAGATTATCTGGGTGAGCCTGACCTAATCCCATGAGTCCTTTAAAAGTGCCAAATTTTTCCCCACTAGTTGCAAAAAAGGAAGTCAGAGATTCTAAGCATGGGAAGGATTCACACACTGTCACTAGCCTAAAGATGGAGGGGGGCATGCAAGAAAGGAAAGCACGTCCCTTTAGGAGCTGAGAGCAGCTCCCAGCTGACGGGAACCTCAGTCCTACAACTGTAAGAAACTGAATCTTGTCAACAACCAATGAGGTTGGAAGCAAATTTTCCCCTAGAGTTTTCAGACTAGAATGCAGCCCAGGTGACACTCTGGCTTCAGCCTTGTGATACCCTTAGCAGAGAACCCAGACATGCCTGGAAAGATTTCTAACCTATAAAACTGTGAACTAAAAGAATCAGTCATTTTTAATCCATTACATTTGTTGCAATTTGTTATGCAACAACAGAAAACTAATTCAGCGCCTCACTTCTTTGTGCCTCAACATTTTCAAAGGTTGCACTATTATTTATTTAGTCACCTCTCTACTTATAGACATTTAGACTGCCTTAAGATATCTGCTATTACCAAAAAACATTCTTACATGTGTGAGTACAAGTTTACTGGTATCAAATTGTTCATAGCATATGTACACACTTTTTAAAATGTGCCTATGATACCAAAAGCAATGACAGAAAAAAAATGGAAACATTGGACTTCATCAAAAGTAAGAGCTGTTGTACATCAAGGGACATTATCAAGAAAGAGAAAAAAACCCTACAGAATGGGAAAAATATTTGTAAATCATAATAGCTGATAAGGGTCTAGTATCCAAAAGATAAAAAGAACTTATATAACTCAACAAAAAGATAAACAAATAATCCAATTAAAAATAGGCAAAGGTGGCTCCCATTCCAGTGGGGGAACTTAGGTGCACGTGCATGATTACAATATAGTATCTGGTAATGTGGTAAAGCTAGGCACACGGTGTCTTCATGGGCACAATGAAGTCCCAGGGTCAGATTTCACCCATAAATATTTAGGAAGTCTTCATAAAATTGAGTTTTAAAGAATGGAGAGGAGTTTACCAAGCCACCAAGGGTAGGGAAGCACGGAAGAGTAAGGCATGTTTAGGGAAAGCCAAGTCAGTCATCGGGAGTGAAACAGGATGCATGAAATAAGGTCAGAGAAACAGGCAGATTTACATCATGTTGGGCATTTTATGCTACACCAAATAACAAGAGCTTTAGGTTAAGTGGGAGCTGACACAACAGTCTGCATTTTTCAATGAGAAGTAAGGTGGCAGTGTGAAGAAAAACACAGGGTAGGAAGACAGTAGATTCAGGGAGTCTGTGTTTGGGGAGAAATGTGAAGGACCTGGCATGACAGTGGGGATAGAGCGGGGTCAGTGATTTGATTGATATTTGGGAGACAGAAGTTGAGAGAATACAGTGATTAACAGTGACAAGAAAAAGATAGAGAGGGAGGAGCCTACAAGGATTTCTAAGATGCTGACATGGATCTCGGAGCAAATGATAATGCCTTTCAATGCCTCTGATTTAAGGAACACAGGAGGAAGTGTATCTGTGAAGAAAGAAAATGAATTCAGTTTTGGTATGTTGAGGCAGAAATGTCTGGGGGACATCCAACGGCAGAGGTCTGGTAGGAAAAGGGAAATAAGGACCTGAAGCTCAGGGGAGAGGTCTTAATCAGAGATTGGGATTTCAAGGCTAGTTATCATTCTTTTCAGAATAATGAAACATCACAAAAAAACAGAGCTCCCAAGGCCCTGCCAGCTGCTGCTTCTCCCCTCTGCAGATCATCTGATAGTCATCAGTCAAGACACATCATGGTGCCCTATGCAGTCTGCAATCTGTCATTCACTTTAGCGCTTCTACTGCTAGGTTTGCCTGTGAATCAGCAAGGTGACAAAGTAGAGGAACACCTGATCTTTTTAGCCTGCTCCCTCTGCTCACATATGTTCTCTGGCTCAGAGGTGAGTGTGCTGGCAACACTGAACACTAGACTAGCACCACTGGGCTGGAGACTAGACTAGAAACGTTTGATTGGGAAGACAGTCACTCAAGGGGTTCTCTTGAGAAGAAACAGCTGAATTGATGGCTCTGTATCAATACTCTGTGTACCTGATTTAATACATCCCTAACCTTCGTGACTTCTGTCAACTGCTTTGAGAAAGTAATATATGATCAATATAATACCCAATCATAATAAAAGCAAAATTATCTAGTAATATCAGCTCAATGATCTAAAATTTTTGAGGGTTTATACAACTACACAAATCCTAATGAAAAGAACGTTTATTGATTAAACCTCATCAGAACTTCGAGCAGTGTTTACCTGATCTGCTTGCCTTCTCTCATATCATATAAGGAAAAGAAGACATCGGCATCTTCCCCAATGGTGTTGTAGGTAAAACTCTTCAGGCTGAGGAAGAAGTGATGTGGCACTGGCATCCGACAGGCTTCCCCATGACGTGGGCGCATTGTATCTACCTAACGAGAAAGGCAAAAAACAGTGATTTCTAGTTTAGTTATTCATTATATTAATCATAAATAAAATGAAAACGAAATGACTCACTCTCCTCGTACTGAGAGAGAGACTGGAGGTGTTTTGGTGCTGTGTCAATATGGTTTGTTTGGGATCAGCAAATATGCAGCTGGGAGAAGTAAACAGAGTGACGGAGATAAAGGAACAGTAATTCCAATTTATGAGTTAACTCTCAATCTCCATCAGATCACAGACATCTCAGTTCTCCAGGGAACCATTTTCAAAGTCATTTCTTGGGCATCCTGCCATGACCCTGCTCCACTTGATTTACACTGTTGGGTGGTAATAGTTATCATTCTAAATGACATTTTTATTTCCTTCCAGACTGACTTACGTTAGTGTCTCTGTCTCCTTTCTTTCAGTTGTGCTTATGTAAATTTGCACAGAGGAGTGGAGACTGGACAGATTTGCTTAAAGGTCAGGGCTCCTTAGATGAAAGGCACCACACTATCAAAAACTCAGTGGTATGTCATTTTCTGGTGCATCCCTGTGTTGTGATCTCTTAGAAGAAAGAGTTGAGGGGCAAAACTGGGGCGCCTGGTTAAGCTGCTTACCTGGGATGTGCTTTGCTGTACACTCTGCCGGCTAGATAAATGCTGTGGAGAGAAAGAAAGAAAAATTCACTCAACTGGGAAGGAAATTTCTATTAAGCATCTTCTTTCTATATGCTAGGCATTTTGTTATTTCTTTTATATATATAATCTCATTTAATTCTGATAACTTTGTTAGATAAATGTTACTCATATTTGATGGAGACAACTAAGGCTTAGTACAAGGAAGTGATTTGCTGAAGTTCATATAGCAAGGAGGAGGCAAAGTCTGGATTCAAACCCAAGCCTCTCCAGCTCAGAGTACCAGCCAAGTCACAGTTGGTACTTGCTACTGGATTTCTGCTTTAGCACTGTCCTCCGCACACACTGTCTGTACCACGCCCTGGCCTAGGTAATCCACCTTTTCCAGACTCTCCACACTGGAGGAGGTGCAGCCTTGAACCAAAAGGAGCTCCCTCCCAAACATCTCTCCATGCTGTTCCTTTGCTGCTGGCTGAAGCTAGAAGCAGCAGATTTCAATCCCAGCCACACACAACTAGGCTCTGAAACTTCAGAGAAATCGCTTACTCTCTCCAAGAGATATTTTTCTCAACTGTAAAAATAAGATAAAAGCTTTTATTGTCTTCCTCACAGGGGTATTACGAGACTCAAATTTCATAATGGAAACAGCATGACACAGTAGTTAGGGACCTAAGTCAGGACACCTAGTTTTCAATCTTGACTCACACTTGTGTTTCCTCATTTGTAAACTGAGATTAACATTTTGTGCTAAACATCACAGGATTTTGTGCAGATTAAGTCAGCATAGTACCTGTATTTGTAAGTGGCTGATCATTGTTATCTATAATTAGTATTCTTCTTATTACTGGTATTCTTCTTTATAATTAGTTATTATAGAAAAGTCAGTCACATTTAGAAGTAACGCTTGCCAGAAAAAATGATGGCCTCACAAACATAAGGCCCCTGGTTTTGGTAAGCTCAACAGTGAGTTTCTATCCTGTTCCCTTTCAGGCCCTAGAGGTGTGAGACAACACTCACTGGGTTAACTGTTCCACATCATATGGGTATAAAGAATGGTTGCTGAGTAGAATAGTTTCATTTCTTTTCCAAATACACACATTTAACCCTAAATAAAACTGAAGTACAATTAAATATTAATTTAAATGCATCTCACAAGCTGTATTTGCTAATTATTAAATATGCATGTGCATTATTAAATTAGCAAATTATTATTGACTATTAATAATCATTCATGGGCCTACATGTTCCCATGACACACTAAATACAGCTGGCCCTCTGCATCTGCGGGTTTCTCATTCATGGATTCAACTAACCACAAATTGCGATATTCAGGGTGGGGGGAAATCCCAGAAAACTCCAAAATGCAAAAACTGAATCTGGCACGTGCCAAGCATTATAGTGAATCCGTGGGAACGGAGCAAGGTGTAGGCACACCCTGTATGCAAATACTTGGCCATTTTCTATAAGGGACTTGAGCAGCCACAGATTTTGGTATTTGCAGAGGATCCTGGGAACAATTCCCTGTGGATACTGAGGGACAACTGTATAATAAAAAGAGGCCTCCACCAGCTGGGGAAGTCATCACACAGAATGTGTGTGTGTACAAAAGAAAAGTTCACCTACAAATGTGTGAAAAAAAGCTACAAAAAAAGCTTTTTAAAAATCAGGTTTTCAAAAAAAAGGATCAAGTTTTCTTTGGTTTACTGACCCATATCCCACTGGGAAGGTTACTAGCCTAAAATGCCTTCCACCGTTTTATTTTACATTTGGGGGCTGCACTAAGTCATTCTTCTGAAGCGGATTTACTAACTTAAAAACGACTACTGATATTAAATATATATGTTTAATTATAATTATATGTGGAAGTTTACAGCTACTTTCGGTGTAAAACATTTGTGTTGACAATGACAAATGTCATTCTAGAGTTCAGAGGCATCAAATCTGGGAGACCTTTTCAGCCTAGTCTAAAAGCACACCACATGGGTGGCCAGAGAAAGGCACAGGGACTGGCATTTTGGAGCATCTTTCACGGCGCTGTCATGGAAATCCTCTGCCCTGCTGTGGGGCACTTTGGCTGGCCAGCCCACACTTTACTCTCCAGAGCCACATCACCTGTATTACAGCTCTGGCTATTGTTTCTGTGTTTGCTACCTAGCCCTAGACTTTGTCCTCTTGGGGAGCAAAACACCTGCCTTAATCATCTTGAAATCCTAAGTGCCTAACAAGGTACATAAAAAATGTAAATTAATTTTAAGTGCATGGACTACTTTACTGCTTCAGTCCAAATTTCCCCCCATAGAAAAGTCACTGTCAGCCCTTTGTCAGTCTTGGTCCATTTAGTCTATAAAAGTCCACCAATATGGGGGAAAAACAACTGTGTAGCTATTCAAGTGAATAACACATATAATTCCCTGTATATGCTGAGAACTGCGTTTTACAAGGAAATATAAGACATCCAGTCAGGATTACCAATGATGCCTGATTGTTAGTAAATAATGCAATCAACTGATTTAAGTCCAGAATTGGAGTATAAACACTGATCTACTAAAAATATAAATTAGCACTAGAAGAAAACAAACACACAGTTCCCAATACATGCTAATGTGGAAGGATACCAATGCAGCAGGAGGCTATAATGTGAATATTGTTAGGTCTTCCCACAATTTAGAAGCACTCATATAATCTTCAAGTGCTCACTTTTCCCAAAAAGGCATAGCTAATTAAAATTAAACCAAATACTTCATTGTTGCCCTGTGAAATTCTTTCTAGTTTAGGCAGCACCAATTCTCTACCATTGAAAGTGGATTTAGACTTGCTATTATGTGAAAGCAAGGACTGAGGAGCATTAGGGCTTCCTTTGGTTCTTGTCATATAGAAAATCCATCTGTGTATTTAAAGAGATTTTTAGTAGTCATTATCATTCAACATTTGTGTAGGGGCTTGAATTTTTTATGAGAAACAAAATGCTCTAAATGTCAACTTATGGTATAATCGTATTTATAAAGGTTTTCTTATAAAATATGTGGCAAGGAGTATTACTATAATCAGAAAGTTCCATATTGAGTCTTTCATAATCTCCAGTAATAAATTTCAATGTTAATACAGAAAAGTTCTGAAAGGTTATTCCTCTGAACCTTGTTGGTAAGTTTAAGATTTAACCAAAACACTTACTGTGCATTTACTATATGTAATTTAACATAAAATTAAGTGGTTTTCAATATGGAATGGATTCTCTGAATCTGTTTTTCTTTATCATATCTAATTCTTTATGTCAAAAAGCAGCAAATACATGGGATAAAAAGACAGAAAAGTCAGCATAAAATGAAATAAATTTAAAAAAAGGAACTTGTACCTTAGGCTTTTTTGAGAAGACATTTTAAATTAACATTTTAATTTATTACAAGTAATATACACATATAGTTTTCAAAGTTAAATAGCCTTAAAAAGCTTGCAATAAAATTATCAGCCTTCTGTTCACCCTGTCCTGTGCCCCCAAAATAAGTACTTTCAACTATTTACTGTGTTTCTTCCTAAAATTTATCAAATGTTTCTATATGTCATACTTACAGCGTTCTCTCTTTATTCAATTTTAGACCTCTCTATTGGCCTCTTATTATGGAAGCTGAGGATTATCACATTTGTTTATATCTATTTCACTTCAACCCTATGCTTAATATCTTACAAGTTTCGGTCAAAAATATTGTAACATTTAAATATTGTCCACTGCTCACCCGTGTAGTACACTTCAATTACACTTCCTTTCTTCTATTGTTTTCTGCTTTTGTATAGAGATAACTTAGTTTTACTTAAACTACAGGGCCTTTTCCTATGCCCTCCAATAGCTCTACAAAATACCTTTCAACAGCATTCTCCACATGGTAAAAACTACCAAGTACTCTATGAAGTGGTGTTTCACCTGGAGCTATCCCCCCTGCCGCCTTTCTGCTTTTACTGGGACCAGTTACTCTCTACGCCTATTGCACAACTGTCATCCTGGGACTTCCCTCTGATGCTAACCTGAGAATTCTTTGCACCTCTCAACTGAGTCAGAATTCCTTTCCTGGATGGCACATAACAGCAGCTTTTGGTTTCCTCCCTTATGTTAAATAAATAATCCTTCAGTAGTTTCCTGAAAAAGGTTTTTAAAGAAAGAGGGCTTTTTTGAGACTTTCAAGTGACCCAAATTTTCTTTAGGCTATTCTCCCACTTGACTGGTAATATGTCTCAGTAAATATAAAATTCTAGGTTGAATTTTTTCCCCCCAGAATTTTAAAGGCAATTTTTCATTATTGCTAGTTTTCAATGTTGCTTTTAGGAAGACAAATGCTATTCTTACAACAAGTCCTTAGTAGGTGACCTATTTTTCTCTCAGGAAGCTTTCAGCTTTGTGAGCTGAAATTTTGCAAGTCTTAAATACGTCTTCAATCCTTTCAATCTGGAGACTAATATCTATGTTCTGGGAAAGTGTTTTTTCTTGCTGTATGAGATATAATTGACATATACTATTACATAAACTTAATGTGTACAATGTGATGATTTGATACACATATATATTGTGAAATAAGTTAATATATCCTTCATTTAACGTAATTACCTTGTTGCTGCTGTTGTGAGATTTAAGCTCTATTCCTTTTTTAAAAATGTCTTTATTGTTTAAAGTATTACAGATGTCCCCTTTCTCCCCCACTGACCCCCTTCTTTCAAGTAATAATACACTATAGTTAACTACCATCACCATGTTGTACATTAGATCTCTATAACTTAATCCTTAGTGTAGAAGTTTGTACCCTTTGACCAACATTCCCCGCCCCCCCCAGCTCCTGACAATCACAATTCTGCTCTGTTTCTATGAATTCAGCTTTTTTAGAGTCTACATATTAGCTCATAAAGTATGTGTCACTCTCTGCCTGACTTACTTAGTGTAGTACTCTTAAGGTTCATCCATGTTGTCACAAATGACAGGATATCCTTCTTTCTTATCACTCAATAGTATTCCATTGTACATACATACATATGTTTTCTTTAGTCGTTCATCAATGGACATTTGAGTTGTTTCTATGTATTGGCTGCTGTGAATATGCTGCAGTGAACATGGGAGTGCAGCTATCTCGTTGAGATCCTAATTTCAGTTCTTCTGGATACACATCTAGAAGTGGGATTGCTGGGTTGGATGGTAGTTATATTTTTGATTTTTTGAGGAATCTCCATACAGTTGTTCATAGTGGTTGTACAAATTTACATTCCCACCAACAGTGCACAAGAGTTCTCTTCTCTCCACATCCCTGCCACCACTTCTCTCATCTTTTTGATGACAGGCATTTTGCACATGCGGTATCTCCCTGTGGTTTTGATTTGTACTTCCCTAATGATTAGTGGTACTGAATGCGTTTCATTTTCTCAAATAGAAACTTGTAATTCTTTCTAAAACTTGCAATTCTCACCAACATACACTCCTCGAATATGTATATACTCCTTAAGGTGAGGTTTTACCCAATCTCTTAGTCTAAGCTTAATAGTCACCTGAAGTTTCTGTTGTTCTACTTTAAAAATTTGCACCTTTCTTTTATTTACTTCTCAATCATCCTGTAAAATGTATATAATGTCATTAGTCAATTCAATACATTTTTATAACAACCAATAGACAGCTAAGGATTTAACAGGTTATGTCTCTCAGAAATACTGACACATTATATCCAGGTTTAATCACTACATTAACCAATAATTGGATCTTTTCAGCTTCAACTTGAGACAGAATTTTAGTAACTAGTGAAGGCTGAAGGAGCTCTGTTTACCAGCAAAATCAATAGAGAAATGCCCCATAGACATTACAGTAAGCCCAGCACTCTACAAAGTAATTCCATTTAAAAAGCAAGTGTGATATACTATCAGAATAATTATACTGGGACAAAGACAAAGAACAATTTTAGCAACATTATTTCATAATATAATTAGGAAAAATAAAGGAGGAAAAATGAGGTGTGTAGGAACAAGCTACCCTGTGTTAGATGTCTTACCATTTTATAGAGATCAGAGACACTAATCTGGTCTGAATCCACTACTTCAAAGTCCTTCCGAGGCACCAGGTCCAGGCCCAAATGCCTAGTAAAGAGAAAGACCACACTCAGCATGCTGCATCCTCAGACTACACATCTTCCTCTATGTGCCTGAAAGCCCGTACCTGCCAGGAGCTTGCAGACAGAGGCTCAGGCACGGCCTCAGGTGGGACATGCCTTTCCAGTAGTACTTCATCGTGCTCACCTTCAGGTAAGTAAGTAAGGCTAGGGAGTTAAGTCTGACATACTTCTAGTCATCAAGCAGTTCCCCTTGTGATGGTAAGAGGGATTCATTTGATATCACATTGTTAACAAATCAATTAAGTTCATTAAGGATAGGTTTTTTATAGATCATTAATAAGTCACATTTATTTTTTCATTTCTCCCCATCCTACAAGTATGCTCAAGGTTCAGTCATGCATTACTTCCACTAGCATGAAAAGTTATCCAGGATCCAAGTAGATATGTAATTTAAAGTCAAACACATAAAAAATTACCTGCTAAAGATAGTAAACTAAAAAAAATGTATGTTTTGGCTGAATTTTATCTCATTTTCGATTTAATTAAAACTGACGTTGGGTTATAACAAAGAAATCACCACATATTAGCCAATATCTTAAGAAACTTTAGACAGAAGTTCAACCAAGGAGCACTACTATGAAAAAATACAATACTTAGAAGATCTGGTATAACTTGAGCAGAAAGGAAGAAGAGTGATTAATGATCAGTTGGGAGGCAGTATGAGACAGTGAATAACTCTGGACCCAGTCAGAACTCTTGGGTTCAAACATGGTACATAATTTATAGTAAATAAATGGTAGCTCCTTTCTCCCTCTCTAAGAAAAACAGCTCTAAGCCTAGAGTCCAGTGGAGCTGTGGCCCCTGAAACTGCTTACAACAGTAGGTACACATGTTCATTTTACAAGTGATCTTTTAAAACATTTTCCAAAATTTCTGTAATCATGCTATTGAAACCTTTTTAAATACAAAAATGAGACAAAATTTCATACATATTCTTTAACCACTACAGGTCACAAAATATTCAATAGTCTAAATATCAGAATTAAGCAACAAAAAGACTATGCAAAAAACTCAATCAAAATAGAGGTTTTCAATATAATATCTTGAGAAAAAATGCAGATGGATCTAACTCAGTAGGGCTGGGACTCAGTGTATGTGCTCTGTGTCAGTGCACCATGCGGTGATGGGCTGTCTAGAAGCTGATATCCATGCAAACTCTATCTTATTAGCACTATGACACTCTTACCTTGCTTGCCCATTCAACTATCCACCCACATAACCATCCACTCACCTCACAAACCTTTTATACACCATACCAGTGGTGCTAAATACAAGAAAATACAGCAGTTTCAGCTTTATGCAAATGTTGGCATTCATCAGGCTAATTCTCCCCTGAGAGCAGTGTTTTCCCTCTCCTAGAAGTGACTAGAGCACAGCACCTTTTAATTTCTCGATTTCATGAGGAAATAAGAGAATGATTAATGGGTGATCTGATAAAATAGAAGTCAAGTTCCTCCCGCTAAGATTGACTTCAATGGAGGAAGAGTACTTTTCAAAAGCTAACCTGGAAGACTGTCCTCATGGGGAGAAGGCAGAGATGCTGCACAGTGAGGAGCAACACGTGCTCACCACAAACCTCCCTCTGAGAAAAGGTTCCTAGCTGGTTTTTTCCATGGTTTAAGAATAATGAACAGTAAGTGCAGGGAATGGTCAGCTTAGTCTATTTTCTATCTTCACAGCAAAGGGAGGCAGTGCAGCAAAGCAGTTAGGAGCATGGGCTCTGAGGTTATATTGCCTGGTTTGTATCTTGGCTCTTCCACCGAGACACTGTCTTACCTATCATCACAGGCTGCTGTAAGGATTAACGCACGCAAAGCACTCAGCACACTGCCCGGCACTGAACTGCTGCTGCTGCCATAATTATCATCAGCGTGTGTTTCATCATGAGCTAACATACGGCCCGCAACCCGGCATGTGCCCCATCTGGGAATTGAACCTCAATCTCCTGGATCCTAGGTCAATGCTCAACCGCTGAGCCCCGCCCCACTGCGCTCAGAGATTTTTTTTAAAAGTTCTTTACCAATCTCTCATTCTCTCTGGGGCCAGGTAATTTCCTTTAGGGCAAGGTATTTTGTTTATTCTGGTTTCTGTCTCTTCCTTATGGAAGGATTTCTTCAAATATTTGATAATACTCGATTGTCCATTCAGATTTAAAAGGCATTAGAAAAAGTGTGGGGAGTTTTCTGTACATGGGTGGATGACCAGCAAGTTTCTCTTTCTGCTCAGTGGAAGGGCTTTGGTCATTACATTTTGAAACCCTTAAATGCCACAACATGGAAGGCTCTAAAATAAGGTCCCAGTTCACATTCTTGTTGTCCAGTTTCCTCCCAGGCAGTTGGTCTTCGTATTTGTTAGTCTGAAGGGGAAACACCCGGCTGCCAGGCATTCTCTCCTGGTGGTGGGTTATTCCTTTTACATACTTTTAAGCAATCTCCCTTTTTTAAGCTCAAAGGCACATTCCTACCCTCCATGATTCTGGGAGCTACAGAGGAGCAGCTCCTTCATTAGCTAAAATTTCCCCACATATACTGGGCTTCCTCTATCACTAATCCTCCAACTACTTTCCACTTTCTATATCTCATTTATTGCTGGTCCCCCCTCATTCTTTTTATTTTCTATCATTTCAGTGATGTCTTGAGAGTGAGAGGAACTAAAGACTTGTACTAATATACTTAAGGTATATGTATGTGTTTTCTTTCTTTTTTTTCTTCTTTTTTTTTAATCTCTGCCTTCAGGTCCTTTTGATTTTCTAACTGACCATGAATCTCATTATCATTACTCCAATAGGATCTGTAGCTTATCTTGATATATAAATATCAAGGTATATGTATATTGTAAATAGAAAGCAACCTGGTCACTTCAAAGTTCAATGGGCCTGATTTTAAGAGAATGAGACAGAAGTACCTTGAGGATTATATCAGTTACTAAGTCTAGGGAGAAATAAAATTTGAATACTCTTTACTCTAGCTTCCCATACCAAAGTCTTAGGATTGTACTTGTACGGCTAGAGCAAATAACCACACCCATAAATGCAAGACTATAGTTGAATGAAAACTAGTTACGAATATTCTGAAGTAGAGATGTAGAAATTCAAATTTATAGTAATTTTTTTCTTAATCCTCGCCCAAGGATATTTTTTTCCATTGCTTTCCAGAGAGAGTAAAAGGGAAAGAGAGAGATAGAGAGAAACATCATGTGAGAGAGATGCATTGACTGGTTGCCTCCCGCACACACCCCGACTGGGGCCAGGGATGGAGTCTGTACCCGAGTTAGTGCCCTTGACCGGAATCGAACCCAAGACCCTTCAGTCCACGGGCCAACGCTTTAACCACTGAGACAAACTGGCTAGAGTGAAATGCTTATTTGGATTCACTATAAAATGTAAAGAACACCAAATGCACATTTTTAAAAAGGTACAAAAAGATAAAACGAAAGCATATTCTGATTACTGAGGTCTATAATCAAGGAATTTGAGCTGGAAGAGACCTCAGTAGGTAATGCTGTCCAATCTGACTTTTCAGAAGTGAAAACGGAGGCTGAGAGAATTTCAGTGAGTAGAACCAGTGAGTGTCCTTTGCTATACTAAAAGAAACTCATACTAAAAATGATTAAAGCTTAGTAGAGAATATAATAATAACTTTTAATCACTAAAGAGAAGCTTTGATCAAGTACAAACTCCATGAGGACTGAGTTCTTGTAAATAAAACTGAGAGATGCTCAAATGTCAGTCATACTTACTCATTCCCCCAGTCCAGTCGCACGGTGATGTGCCGCTTAACTTCCCGCACCTGATCCTGAGTCAGGTGACCAGACAGCAGCTGCCTTCGAAGGTCAATAAGTTCATTCATCACATGGCGTAGTTTGTAGAAAAGATCTACTTTGTGTTTCTGAAAGAGCATTTTTGGTGTTGGATGAAATAAAAAAGGGACGTGGAAAGGGAATGAAAAAAGAAAGAGAAATAGTTAAACTATGAAAAGTGCTCATTTCTCTAACCCTCTAAAAAAAGCACTGTAAAGAGAAGTTTATTTAAGAATCTTAAAGTCCTTAGTTTGTACTGTCTAAAAACCTCTACATAGTGACATCTAACGAGTACTATAATTGATCTGGATTATGCACAGTACTGTTTATCTCTACTCCATCTGGACTACTCATTTCCCAGTAAACAAAGTTACTAAACTTAATAGGAACAGAAAGTTACACAGGAGCCTAGATCTATCTTCTCTGACAAAAGGTACAATCCTGTAACAACAAAGATTCCAACCACCCAGCAACATCTCTGGTTTTTCCAGGAGGAATACTCAAGCTGGGGGAGAGAGAGCGAGATTCACTTGCCCTATTTTGAAGGTACTAAGGTTTCAAAATAAAGCCAAAGTCTCTGGAGTAACACTCACTCCAGTTTTCCAGGCCTCATCTAGCTTTAATTAGCTTTCATAAACAGTATCTGTCCCTAGTGTCACAGATTCCTACTCATTTTAGTTTAATAAAAAGTGTCACTTTTATAAGAGTTAAGTGGGAACCTTTTAATGAACTTGATGTCATAGTGACTATACTTACAAGTAAAAAAATATTAAGTGCCATGACAGTAAATACTTGAGTAAAATGATATACTTAAGAATATAGATTTTAAAACTAAATTCCTATTTGCTTGCAAGTGACATTTTTATTTTAGAATTTTTAGGTTTCTCTTTGTATTGTGGAGAAGCATAATTTTATATAATTAAAATTCTTGGGATATAATCTATCTAAAAAGAATGCTTTTAAAGACAGATCAACCTATACTAGCGATTTTCAACTGGTGTGCGGCAAGAATTTTTAAAACATACAATACCTGACTATTAACAGGATCACTGACCTCTTTTCCCTTATATTGTCAAATAAAAAAATGACAACAGCCAACACAATAGCTATCCAGTGTGAATGAATCAAAATTATACCTGTTTTTTTGTCAAATAGGCAAAAATATATTTTTTGGTGTGTCGTAGACTTTTAGCAATTAGTTTGTGTATCATGAGGTTAAAAACGTTGAAAATCACTGACCTATACTATGGTGTTAGTCAAGTCTCTATCTGAGATTGCCCCTAAAAGGGGGCTTGCCAAAATAAGCTTGATTTAAGTGGCTATAAATAAAATTAATTATAAAGCAAATTACAAACCAGTAGAATTAGCTAATGTTTTTAGGTGGCAGTGATCTTATGAAAAATGTTCAAAACATCATAGCATACTACTGAGAAATCATCTAGTGGAGCATTAGACTTTTAAAGGTCTATCTTAGAAATTATTTTTAACTAGACGACCTTGGAACCATGTGCTCTAACTACATCCTTTCAATGGCACTCTGTCCCCATATGAAGAAAAGTTAAGCACCCTGATGGGACACAATCAATGCTGGCAGAAGGGCAGACTTTACAAAGTCTTGTCAGCTCTAAAACCAACAAAGCCTAAGCAAACACATCATCTGGCAAATTGGGATCTTGAAGATAAGCAGTAAAGGCAATTCTGTTTTGATAAAACAGGGCTACCTATCTAAAGTTAAAACAGAAAGTTAGAATTACTATTTTCCCATCAAACCATACACAAGAATCCACTGCATACATACATGAGCATTTATTCGTTCACTCAGTTAACAAATACTCATGGAACACTAGCTGAATGCTATCACTTTGTTGTGATCAAAAGTTCCTACTCCAGTGATGTTTTCATTCTACACAGCAGAGGCAGACAAGAGGAAAACAAACAAATAATGACGATGACAAGTTCTAAGGGAAAAAATTAAAGCAGAATAGGGACAGTGGGTAGCCAAGGGTGGGTTGGCTGGGGCATGAGAGGTGGTACTCCTTCAGGTAGGGTGGTCAGGGAAAGGCTTCTTTGAGCTGAACTTTGCGTAGAAACATGAATGAAATAAAGTAACAGCATTTGAGAAAACTGGGGAAGTTTTAGAGGAATAAAAAATCAGCAAGAGCAAATGCCTTGATGTGGAAGTGGACTTGGCGTGTTCATGGAGAACAGAGAGATCAGTGCACCGGGAGCAAAGTGAGCAAGGGGGAGAGTGGTAATGATGCAGTCAGAGAGGAACAGGGACCAGATTAGGCAGGCCTTTGTAAGCTATCTTTGGCTTTTATTCAAAGCAAGGTGGGAAGCCACTGGAAATCTACAGCAGAAGAGCGATGTGATATGACTTAATTCTTGAAAGCATCACTCTGAGTGCTCTGTTGAGTAAACCATGAAGAAGAAAGAGGAAAGCAGGGGCTCCAGTCAGAAGGCTATTTACTTCAACGACCCATAGAATGATGACTGACTGGATGAAGAATGGTGATACAAATTTTAGGGCTTTGAGTTTTGACATGGCAGAGTTGTTAGCATCTGCTGATAGGTTAGAGGTGGGATGTGAATGAAGTCAAAGATCACTCTTTTTCCTGGCCTGGGAACACAACTGAAAGAGGGAAACATGATTAAATTTGGACATGCTAATTTGACATTTAGAGGTCAGGAAAGAGAGAAGTATCTAGCAGAGAAAACTGAGGGAGGGGTAAGCAGGGAGATGAGAGGAAAAGCAGTACTGAAAAGAGGGTCTTAAGGAGGACTTTGTCAAGTGCACTGAGAGGCTAAATAAAATACAGACTGAGAACTGGCCACTGGACTTGGGATTGCAGTGGCCACCACTGACCTCTAAAAGGGCAATTTTATTGGAATGAAGTGAGTTCACGAGAGAACAGAAGATGGATGAACCTACAAGATATTATGCTAACTGAAATAAGTCAGACAAAGAAAGACAAACATGATATCACTTACACGTGGAATTTAAAAAAACAAATGAACAAACGAAACAAAACACTCTCAGAAACAGAGATCAAACGGATGGTTACCAGAAGGGAGGGGGTGAGAGGATGGGTGAAAAATAAGGGGAGCCCTGGCCAGTGTGGCTCAACAGTTAGAGCATCAGCCTGCAGACTGAAGGGTCCCGGGTTTGATTCCGGCCAAGGGCACGCACCTCGGTTGCAGGCTCCATCCCCAGCCCTGGTTGGCATGCAGAAGGCAACCAATGGATGTGTCCCTCACAGTGTTTCTCCCCCCCTGGAAAGCAAGGGAAACAATACCTTCGGGTGAGGATTAAAAAGGAAGACAAAGAGAAAGACGGGAATGCAGTAAGAACACTGTGAGGACGGCGCGGTGACAGGGTCACTTCACCTCACGTGGCGATCACATGGTATGGCATGTAAATGTCAAGTCACTATGCTGTACACCTGAAACTAAGATAATGTGTACCAACTATATTTAAATTAAAAAAAGAAAACGAAAGAAAAAATGGACAGAGCATAGATGACTCTTTTGTAGAATTTTCAGTAACTGGAAGCAAAGAAAAGGGTCGCAGAGCAGGGTTGTGTGATCAAGGGATAAAGTCTCAGGCTGCCTGTGTGCTAAGGGAATGATCTAACAGAGAGAGAATCTGATGATGCAGGTGTTAAATTCCGGAGGAGCCAAAAAGAGGTGAGTCCCAGGTCAAAGGGGAGGTTTCCCTTAGGCTGGATACCCTGCACTTTGTCACAAAGAGGAAAGGTACAGAATATGACTAATGCCACAAGTAGCTGGGAGATGTGAGGACAGAACTGTATTTTCCCTCTGGTTTCCTTAGTCTCAAGGAAATAAAAAGCACGAATATCAGCTGAGAGTGAGTGGAGTGGGAGCCAGTGCTAGAGGTTTGAGAATAGAGATGTAAAACAGTTTCATAGACAGTGATAACACAAATCAGCAGGGGAACTGTAGTTCAACTGCCAGATGGTTTTGAGATTCGTGAACATTAATTAAAAGGCTGTGCTTTTTGTTAAGCCAAGTATATTTGACCCTTGAACAACATGGGTTTAAACTTGGCAAGTCTATACATGTATTTTTTTCAATATTAAATACCTACACTGTTTTCAATCCCTGACTGGTAGTCTATGGATGCAGCGAGCCAACTGTATGCACTGGTCTATGCTATTTTATATAGGAAACTTGAGCATCTGCAGATTCTGGTATCCATAAAAAGTCCTGGAACCAAACCCTGAGGATACCAAGGGACAACTAAGTTTTGGAGGAGTCAAAAGCTATACATGGATTTTTGACTGTGCTGGGCATTGGCACCCCTAACCCCTGTGTTGTTCAAGAGTCAACTGTATACTGTATGTTGATACTGAAATATCACATGTATGTGTATATGTACATATGAATACATATATACAATATAAATGTACATACACAGACACAATATTTATGTAACATACACACACATATATACAGTATCTATTAAAGAATACACTAATATAGCCTTTTAAGGCACTATACAGTTATTTTTTTAATCAAGAGTTTCTAACAGATGGTATTTTCCAAAGATAACTATGATATCTCTTACTCCAAGTGCTCTTCTGCAAAAATGTGACCTTGACACTCCTCTGGTATAAGGTGAGTCCATTTCTCATACACCTGAATCCAGGCAGGCCTGAGACTGCTCTGACCAATCAAACATGACCGCAGTGAGTGAGGCTAGGTTCTAGGAGCAGCCCTTGACTAGTCCAGCAGCTTCTGCCTCTTGCCTCTCGGAATACATGTTCTTGGAAGGTTCCCTCTCAGAATCCACCTGCCATGCTGTGAAAAGCCCAAGCTACGAGGAGCAGCCACAAGGCGACACTCCAGCAAGCAGTCCCTGCTGTGCGAGTGAGCCATCTTGGATGCCATGCCTAGCCCAGCTGAGACTTCAGAGGACTGCAGCTCCTACCAAAATCTGACTGCAACAAAATGATAAAACCCTATGTAAAAACTGCCCAGTCCAGAGAACAATATAATAAGTGTTTTAAGCCATAAACTTTAGGTAGTTTATATGATAACTGTACAGTATTTTTTGTAACAGAAAAAT